TCATGGATCTCTGTGTGTGTTGGATATACAAGACTGTTTAGTGTAAGAATTATTATTTATTTATTTCATTTAGTGATTTAATATTTAATGATTATTTACTTTTCCCAAGAAGAGTGTTAAAGTTAATTATTTTGAAAGCGATAGTTATGACAAGTTTTGCTACACAACTCTGTATGAGTCGTGCGTTGTGTACGCAGTTTCATTTTTTTAATAGGCTTTTGTTATATTGTTGACGTCATGTTACTCAAATCTTCGTTATTTTTCTCGTTGCCTTAAGCGAGTATCGTTACATCATAGCGTTCCGTAGTTAGTAGAATGTTCGAGGCCTCAGTTGGGCAATATATATACATATCGCGACCAAGTGAGCACAAAGCAAGAGAAGTTCAGTCAGAAAAAAGTTAATTAGTGAAAGAAAACGTGAAGTTAGCCGGCGTGTGAGTCATTAGCCTTAACGGGTGATTTCTATAGTGTGTAACAACAAAGATAGGAAAAATAATTTGTCTTGTCAATTGGGTTCTGAAATAAATGAACCAGCCTGTGTGGACTTTTAACGAAAAAGAGAGACAATTACTGAAAGCTCTGGATACAACTATGGTAACCAACAAGAGAAATTAAATCTTATATTAGCGAAAGTGAAGTTAGACTGCATTGAGCTGTGAGTTTCACAGTTTAACAGAGATAAGGAGAATAATTTGTTTTGTCAAAGGATGTTATAAAGTAACTGACCCCATTTGTGTGGACTTTGATAATGTTCTGGATACAACTGTAGTAACCCACGGGGTCACGTAAGTGATGAAAGAATAGAGAAAAATAATTCGTCTTGTCTGATGCTTTCTAAAGTAATTGAATCATCCTGTGTGGACTTTTGACAAGAAAAAATTGTTTAGAGTTTTAGATACAACTGCGATATCCTATAGTGTAAATAATTTTGTACATATATTTGACTTGTTTTTAATATATTATTTTAAAACAAGTGGATCGTGTGCTGTCCGTTTATTGTTAAAATTTATCGCCAGCAAGTTACAGACAGACACCTACTGTAAAAGAATCCGACCACTATATACAGTTAGAAACCTGATATTGTGTCAAGGGTCTTTCAACTGACCAGAATGATCTCCCTTTAACTGATAAGATTCATAGATTTTAAAACGCTCAGATGATAATATTTCAAGATATCAGAATGACGATTTTCTAAGTGATCAGATGGTGAACCTTTAAGAAATAAATATAGTAGTATATTTTTATTTCTCCAGAAATGTATTTTTTTTTATTCAAACACGATAGCTGTGTGACATCGAAACCAGCCTATGCGTGTATTTCTAAGGTTCGACACCACACGTGTACGAGATCAAACATCTTGTGTGCGTGCATGCATTTATTGAACACCATATACTGTTTGTTGCTCTATCTACAAACAAATATTATATGATTTTTTTTTATTAAACCCAAAGTGTGTTAGTATATCTAACAGCAGTCAGTAGATATTAGACATTTCTCGTTCACGAACTCTTATATCTGAAACTACAATGTGCACTGGATATTTACGCTTATAAATAAGTTCTACAGTGGATCCTTACACTTATAAATAAGTCCTACACTGATCCTTACGCTTATAAGTAAGTCGTACATTGGATCCTTATGATTATAAATGAGTTATATGTTGGATCCTTGCGCTTATAAATAAGTTCCACACTGGATCCACAAGCTTATAAATATGTCATACAGTGGATCCTTACGCTTATACATAAGTCATACACTGGATCCTTACGCTTATAAATAAGTCGTACATTGGATCCTTGCGCTTATAAATATGTCCTACTCTGGCTTATAGCAAGGTTTATAACATATTACGTTCAACAACAGAACTTATATGAGACCTCTTTAAAATGAAGCAAGTTGACAAAAAATTTTACATCAAAACTCAACATAATTAATTCAGTTTTTACTCTTTCTCTGCATTCAGTTCCTGATGCCTAGTCAGCCTTCGCCGGGGCCTTGCTGTGACTCTGTTCAATCAGTTGCGGCTGATCCTCACAACGCAGTCTCTGCCGCTGTATATTCACTTCCTCCGGCATGTGACTCTCGGATACTCCCTTCCTATCCACGTCTGGCCAGCAGTATCACGATGAGCGGTCTGTTTGGAACAACCTATCCGGACCCCGCGAGCTGCGTTACGGCTCTAGGACCCAATACTCCAGCCTTCTACACGCCTCTGGTATGATAGAGAAATTCAAAAGTTAAATTTTGGGATATTTTTAACCGCATACTGGAAAACCTTTACCAGTTCATTTAACGCCAAAGATACAGTAGTCGTATTAAAGTAATACAGTAAAATACGTCATTTTTATTGTGTTACACAAAGCTTTTCTATATTCTCGAATCGTAAAGAGATCGGATGTCTTTAAAATATTGTTAGCTCTCTTAACTTATAATAATAACATGACATATCAACTATTTAAAACTACAACTAGTATAGAAAAGTGACGTTTTCTTGCTAAAGATGTCATCAGATGAGTTATGTTCACTACAGGTCTGTCACT